AAAGTAACCTCCAAGGTGAGGCTTGCTATTCTCTCGGCGGATGCGGCTCTCCTTGCGCCGCTCGCTGCGAGTCTGCCGGCCCTTCCCTTTACCTGTGCCGCCAGAGGCCGTAGCCACAGGTGGCAATGCTGGGAGGGGTGCAGGCTCTTCCTGAGCAGAACGGAGCTCCTGTTCCAAGTCACGAAGCCCAGCAGCAACAACCTCAGCAGGATCGCTGGGAGGTGCCTGCGGAGCGTCCTCAATCACCTTAACATCCTCAGCCGAGCTGCCAGAAGCCATAGCAACATCACCACTAGCAGCGCGAGTCCCGCTGGCCTCCGCGACGCCAGAGGACTCCTCCAATGACATGTCCTGCACTTCCTCAGACAGAACAGTCATGTCAACATCATCACTGGGTCTCGCAGCGCCAGCACTAGGGTGCTCGCTAGATCCAGAACCACTGCTAGACTCCGCACCGGAACTAGAGCTTGAACTGGAGCTTGAGCTGGAGCTCCCGCTAGTCTCTCCCTCTCCGCTGGCACCGCTGACCTCTGGCGAGGATGTGGTCACATCGCTGTTCATCTCCTGCTCATCTAACAACGGAAGACGACGAGCGACACCCCCGCGAGCTCTCGCAGCCCCTGCAGTGGAGGGAACAGGCTGACCATGAGTCTCCTCATAGGTCTCAAAGCGCTGACGCTCCGTCAAGAGCCAGTAACGGTGAGGGGAGAGTGTCTCCTGCTTGCGAGGATCAATTCGATAATAGTCACACATGGCATCGAAGTGCTGGCGTAAGCCAACACAATAATGATAGTAAGCAAGCTGCAGCACACGTTTGGCATGGCCAAAGGAGTCGCTGGCGTTCGTTTCAGCTTGCACATCGTCTAAAGACCAGCCAGCGTCAAGGCAGCCATCTTTGAGAGCATGAAGTGACTCCCTCTTCCAGAAGGACACCACCGATAGCTGCTGAAGCGTGGGAATATAAGGCACAGTGGCAAAACGAGCAAACTGGAAGTCATGGGCGATACCGCGATTCATCTCGAAGGGCCCCAGCCCAAGGCTACGAGGCACAAGGCAAAAGCCATTCCGATCCATGCGGCGAGAGACTGCCATCATGTCGGTAGCCCAAGAGCGATGGACGGCATTGTCAGCAACCTCAGCAGCCAGATGAGTCCGGCGAGGTCCAGGGGCAACTGCAGCAGATACATTAGCACTCATTTCACCTTTATCATACAATGCTAGACATCGCGAAGACTCACTAAGGCTGCAGGAGCCACCAACGCGCAAGAAAGCGCAAGAGGCACAGGCCTGCTGCCAATCGTCCAGCACCACGCAGGTCCCAAAAGCTCCCTTGCCTTCAGCACATTTGGCACAAGGTTGAAGGGCAGACTCTCTGGAAGCCTGAGCAACGATTGCCATAGCGTCCTGGGCATTGCGGACAGCTCGGATTTTCTCCCTCCAGTCAACAAGAAAAGGAGGCACATCACCAGTCCAGCTTTCCTTAGCTACCGGGACACAGCGATGGGTAGCGGTGACAACGGTGTCAGCGACATCCTCCCCATCCAAAGTGGATGGCAGAGACAAGCGATCACCCAAAGAAGCAGCAGGGCGAAGATTGACACGATGTTCATCGAGATCCATAGTTGGAGCAGCAGACATGTTGAACAGATGGGTTAGACGCAAATGAAGCGAGATTGAATGAGATCGAGAATAGCGAGACAGTTAACTGGGATAATGTCACGGTTGATCAAAGGAAGAGCAAGACTACGCCGACTTCATGATGAGAAGTCAGGTCCTACTTATACACTCGCTCTGCAAGCTTCGCAAAGGCTCGCAATGGTCTACTGCGCGAAACACAGCTTGCTGGATCCTTCTGCTACTTTTGCCGCTCACTTTTCAGCATCGCGGATGCTCGCTCACAACAGCAATTGTTTGATGGTAGCAAACAGCCTAGCCAGAACGATAGCGTGATACCGCTACTCTGAATCCGGAGGCAAACACAAACATTTGACTGAAAGCTCTCGCAATAATCTGAGACCATAAAGGAATCGTCGATGCTTGAGCACAGATATCACCGAACGTAAAAAGCAATTGCCTTACCTTCGCGGCAGCTTGCGATGACCTTAACGGACATACACAACCTGCTTTTACCCATGCAGTCTATGCAGTCGATTCACGATGACGAACAGACTAGGGCCATAAAGACCACTTGAGACTGCCTTAACAAAGACAGATCCAGGTACCGGCGGCCATGACTGACATTGACTACACTTAGGTCTGTGCCACCTACGCACAGACAATCAAATTCGGAAACAAACAGCATTTGAAACATGACAGGCGAATTTTCACTATCAAGAAGCAAGATTCACTGGGTAAGGGCATCTTAAATTAACATACAATCACAAACATGATGTGGGGGTCAGTTCTGTCCCTTCGCCACTTCAGCGGCCTCCTTAGCTCGCTGCTTCCGGGCTTCCTTCTTAGCCGCCTTCCTTGCAGCACGCCTTGCGTCACGTCTCTGCTTCTTGCGGCGTTCGCGAGATCCCGCACCGGCAACAGGACCTGCAGGTTGTTTGTTGAGCTCATTGGGCACAGCTATCACAGGTTGTCCTGTCTCGCGAGTCTTCTCACGGGGCACAGAGATCACGAACTCCCTCACCGGCTGATCAGGGACAGATGATGCAACCTGCTGAACTCCGCGTGACTTCGCCATCTTAGCTTGTCGTTTGGAAGGCTTTTTAGAGGCCTTCTTAGCCGGAGGTTCAGGTGTGCTAACCTCGCTAGGACTCGCGGAGGTGACAAAGGCAGTGATACCGTCACTATCAGACCTTTGCAGCGAAGCTTCGCTAACCTCGTGAGTAACAAGACGGGTATGGAAGTCGGTCAATGCATCCGCTACAGGGTCTTGCTCTATTTCCGGGACCTCGCGGTCCTCGCTGTCAGTGCTTGCATCGTCAGCGATCAAGTAGTCACCATCAGCATCCTCCTTGTTGCCAATGACGCTTTCATCTTCACCAGCGGCCAACCGCCGCATGGTCTCCGTCATCTCACCCATCTTTGCTTTCATGCGGTGCTCTTGTGAAAAGTTAGCTACCAGTTTAGCTGAGCCAGTTAGCCCTGCCTTTTCCAGCGATAACTGCTTCGCGAAGACCCGCAACACTCGCAATTGATTCTGGCGTTGGTATTCAATCACAGACACCCCCTCATCCTCGTTGTGTGACTCACGGCTGTCTGCGACTGATCTGGCAAGCCAAGCCTTACCAAGACGATAATGGTAGATAGCCAACGACAGGTATTGACGAGCATGCGTGAAGGCAGCGTGCGCATCCTCGTTGGGGACATCTAACCACTTTTCTGAGAACCCAGCTTGCATTAACTGCAGTCGATCAGCCTCGCGAGCCTTCGCAGGATAATCCCAGAACTCAGACACCTTTAGTTCATCCCTAGAAGGGTTGGCAGGCAAAGCCGGCAAGGCACCGTCCTGGAACGAGATAATTTCATCGTCATGGTAGTCGAAGGGACCGATAGCAGTGCCCTCAGGCAGGACTCGCAGACGCAGCCGGGTTGCCATATCGTGGACGATCATCATCTGGCCCTCCAAGTCCAGGTCTGCCATTGCAGCAGCTGCTTCCTTGTTTAGCGATGTTCCGCGACGCTTGGCGACAGCTGGTGCTCATTGATTAGCACTCAAGAAACACATTTTCACCCTCCGCCACCATCGCGAAAGCTTACATAGTGAACAACTGCCTCCCATACGCATCAACATGCAAGATGCGCAGGCTCCATTCCAGTTCCGCAGAATGCGACAGGTCGCGAAGGCACCACGCTTAGCAGCACATCGCTCACATGGCTCTGCCACTGCTGGAGCAGAGACCTGCGCCAACGCCGCCATACTGTCCTGCGCAGACTCAGTCGCTCGCTTTCTTCCAAGCCAATCCAGCTTGAACGGAGGTACAGAGCCCTTCCATAAGCCCAAGGCATGGCGAGCAGCGGAATGCCTCGCGATGACCGTTGTTGGCTTGCATGGCTCATCGTTGAGCAAAGACGGCAGCGAATAGTATTCTCCCACGTTGACGGCCTTCGTCGTGTTGGTAGTGACAGGGATGGTTCTAGCCATGTCTGCGACGCTTAGCGATGATTGGTGAAGTCGAATTAAGATTGCTGGCAGGGATGTTATTCAGTTAACATGCACAGCACAGGTCGCGAGATGTCTCTACACAGGATGCGAAGTCAACAAGAACGACTTGCGACGGAGGAATCTCTTTTTCTCCGCCTTCGACCTCCGCGGCGCATCGCGAGTTGCATACACTGCTTACACATCATATTGCTCGCAATATGCGTACAACGCGGCCCACCCACCACTTACCCGAGTCATTCTTTCACATCTTATTCTCTTTTGTCCTTTCATAACGAGGGCGTTATCCGGCCCTCGTGGAACCACCATT